ATCATCCATTGGATCAGGTATATGAATTTCATGTATTTATATATGTTCACTTTTTAATTCACTATTTGCATCAAAATTAATTTCTCTTGCAGATTTGAAAAGACTTGAACTCTTCAAATGCTTTATTTGACTTATTCTACTACTTCTTTTAATATTTCCAAGACTTTATAATCTTGAATGTACACTATTTATACTCTCAATTCTAGATTCATCCATCATAGGAGACAATGCTATCTTTTTTTAATTTTCTCGATAAGAATGTATTAATTGATTAATTTCTATTGATTTTTTCTATTCTATATTCTTTTCAATTTTCATTATCTAAAATATAATTATATATTTCATTTACTCTCTATTTCATTTTAAGTCTTTTCATTCTATATTCTAAATGTAAATCAATTTCCTCAGATAATGCCTTATATAAACTCATTAAATTAGCTGTCAATTCATCAAAAAGTTATTATGATTATTCTAAATAATCTAAAACCTTCTCATTATTCTCATATAATTATTCTAAACGATTTTCCATAAATTATAATTCTCTCAAATTTAATTAATCATTTGAAGCAACTTCATTTGAAATTGAATATTTCTATTTTAATTTATCAATTTCTAAATTTTCATCATTTTCTTTTAATGTTCTATAAAAATTAATTCCCATTATAGCAACTGGTAATGATATTGTTGTAGTTCCTAATAAAGCTGTTATACATGCTATAAATTTTCCTTATATTGTTTAAGGTATCAAATCACCATAACCAACTGTAGTCATTGTAACAACACACCACCATATTGCATCTGGAATTGATCTAATTTGATTCTCTCCTTAATCACTTTCATCTTCATTATACTCTAAATAGTATATTATTGTAGAAAAAAAGATAACCATTAGAAATAACATTACAATAAGCATTAGTATATCTTTTAATGAATTTTTCACTGTATCTGCCTTAATTATCAAAATAAATATACTAACATTGAAATTTCTTTCATGAATCTAGACAATTTAAACAAACGAAATATTCTTATGAATCTAATTAATCTTAAAACTCTTAATTATGAAAATGAACTATCTGTTAATGTTAGACTTAACAAAAAGGGTAAAATAGATACAAAATCAATCAAATTCATTGGAGAAATTATAAATTACAAGAGTGATCTATCAAAAGCACTTGTTGAAAATAAACGTAAAACTAATTATAAATATAAAATCTTACGATACTCAGTACCAAAAAATACAAATAAGTACAATTCAATAGTAGAACTTACAGAATCATAAGTTTCATTGCCTGATTCATAAATAGAATCCACTATTATTGTAATACATGATAATAAAATGCTTAGCAAAAGTATAATTTATATCAATTTTGCTAAATTTGAACTTTGTGGATCTTCTAATAATATATATACATGCTATTAACATTCCTTTATCAAAACTTTTAATTTTCCTATTACATTTTGATTCATCAATTTCCTTCTTAAAGAAAAATCTTCTGTTTTTAATTTTCTTAAGAATGAAGCTTTAGTTTTTTAATTGTGTAACTATTTATTTTGACTTTACTTAGAAATAGATGAAGAGTTAGATGAATTAGATTTCTTCATTTCTTACCAAATTTTAATAAATATATATATATATAAATATTATAGTAGAAAACTATTTAAACGATTCAGATTTATACTTCCAAAAATTTAACATAAAAGAGATAATGTAATAAAAAAAGACCTTACTAAGACTTTTAATAACAAAAATAATTTTTTTTAAGACAAAATAAAAAAGATTGTCTTAGATCATTTTTCTGTTAATTCTCTAAATCCTTTCCAATCCTTTGGTGCTTTACCACCACATGAATGTATGACTTCTAAAAGTGTATTTGAAGGTCCATCTTTATGTTCTGGAATCATAGTCTATATAAAATTAATATTCAAATTACTAATGTTTTTTGGAATGTTTATTAGGCATCCCCCCAACTTCCCTTTATGTATTATTCAAACCCTTATTTCCAAGTTTCATAAAATACCTAACATCAAATTATATATAATACTTATGTATAAGGTTCTCTTGCTGCTGCCAATTCATCATCAGTTATAAATAGATCTGTCACTGATACTTAATTATTTTAGACTTTTTTCATTAAATCTTCTCTCTTAAATCTATTTACAACTCTAAATTTCTTAGACTCTTTTTAAGTCATCTATGAAACATCAAATTTGTCTCTTAATCCTTTAATTTTTGATTATAAATTTTTGATTGACATATCAATTGTATGTAATTCTATTATTTTAGTTATAGAAAGATACCTAAAGGAACAATACTTCCTTTTACAGTAACAATATCAATCATTCTCATTTACTTTTAGCATTCTTCAGTGAGATATTATTTTAAAATGCCACTAACGAGAATTAATGATCCGAATTATTTTGTAGCTGCTTCCAATCTAGATGCCATATTAACATTAGGACTAAGATAAGAAGCATCAATTTTAAAACCAGACCCTATAGCTCCTTCTATTCCCCATCCCATATGTAAACCAAATCCCATTTTAACTGAATAATCTTTCATTCTTGCATTTAAACCTTCATGTTTCTTATACTTTTCTAATTTTTTGGAAATTGAGATTGCAGTAATTATTTTTAGAAATGCTATTACAGCCATATCTCCTTTCTATTTAATGTATCTATCACTTTTAAGTTTTAAGTTCTTAGGATTATCAGGATCTGGATGATAATCATTAGGAGAATATTTCCAAACCAATAAAAATGCATCTCCTATATTTTTATTAGCAGATCCACTCATGGAATCAACAGTTGAATGAACAATTTCAGCAATTTCATTTACAAATAACATTACACCTTATTATAATACTTCTGTAGCCTATAATAATAATTTTATTATTTTTTTACATCTGTAAAATTTCTTATATCACAAAAACCAAATATAGCCAATATCTTCTTTCCAGGAATCATAGGATCAACACTACCACCTTTTTTTATATTTTCAGCTATAATTTCTGAACCAGCTTCACCAAAACCAACAGCTAAAAGTGCTCCTACTTTCATTATTAATCTTTATAAAACATAAGTTTCCATATGTTTCTCTATTTCTTTTTATTTCAATTTTTCTACATCTTATTATTTTTCCAATTCTTCCATAATTAAATCCTCCTATTCTTCAATATTAACTGCTTCTAAAGGATTAGCAGCAATCATTTCTATTTTTTACATCATAGCTTCAATAGGATCAATTACCAAATCTGAAACATCTTTACTAAACATTAATGCTGAAACTGCTAAAACAATGCAGACAAAAACAGTTTAAAAGATTGATAAAATTGCATTCGTCTAATTATAAGTCACTAAATCAGCAGCTGCATAAGTTTATAAATCAGAACCTTCAGCTTTAACATAATATTAAAGATCAGAAAATCTATATTGATTTTTTGTTTCATAAGCAGGTTATTCAAATATTTCAGGATTTGTATCATAACTCCATTCATGTAATTTTGAATTTGTATCACCTTCTAATTTAACATCTACACTATATATTGGAAATATTTCAGAAACATGAAATTATGCATATTAATATAAAAGTGACTTCATTACTAATTCATTATTTCTAAATTGATAAATTCTATATATTCCTGAATCATAACTACTAATCATTTCTTAATAGGTATCCAATGAAAGAACTGGAATACTTATTAAAATTGCTAAAATAATAGTGATAACTCTTCTCATAACAAGATCTGAAAGTTAAGCACCTACAACAGATTCTTTTATTTAATCTTCAGCTTGAGAAGTTGTTTATGAAGTTTTTAAATTAGAACCAGTTGAATTTTTATCTGGAGTTCTAGAAGATTCAATATCATTTTATGATACTCTTTATTCTTCAATATTAGAAACAATTGGAACTACCTATTGATTTGATTAAGCCTATATTTATGGTTATTATGGAGCCTATTAATCTTAACTTTTATTTTATTAAGCTTATCGAAGTAATTCCTATAACATCTTTTTCTATTATTCTTTCTCCATCTACTATCGAGCATGTTTATACAACTTTACTAATCTCACCAATCTAATAACTCTTATAACTCTAGCTGCTTTTCTAGCTGCTCTAGATGCTGTTCCTATTGATTTAATTTATGCTGCACTGGAAAGGTCACCTGAATACCATGTATCAGTTATCCATCCTAAATCTAATATCATTGTTATTGTTGATATAATATCCAATACAAAATAAAACTAAAAATTATGAAAATTTTTTACATTGAAAATATATTCAGGTTTACAAATACTAGTAAGAATTATCTCAGCTAAGAAAGCAACCATACAAATCACAGTTAGGATGAAGAATACATCATCTCCTTATTTATCAACTGACAGTATGCGAATGTCATCTCCAAAGAGTGCATAAATGGTAACTATGGCCATTATAATTGAGAATGGAGTGCTCTCAGTTATTTTCAAAATCTTTTTTGCCAAATCAGATTATTGTTTTTGAACATGATGTCTGTTCTTCAATTTACTATTCATTCTTTTTACACGTCTCTATGTTGTTTCTGAGATTATTAATTATCAAAATAAATACATTAAACTGGAGACTTTCCTCCTCCTGAACTCTTGATTGATACATCATCCTGACTGTGATGATTTGATCCATTCATTTACTTATTTAATTTTTTCAATTCATCTGGTGGTGGCTCTTTCTTTCGAATTAATGGTTGAGCTGTCTGTTTATCGGTTAACTAATATTAATTATTATATACTAAAGGGGCCTAGTTTTATCCCTAATTCTCAGAAGAACGCTTAGCCGATCTATCAGATGGTAACTGAAGCTATTATTTTATCAATAAATTACAACATTTGGATCAGATACCATTTCATTGAAATTCTTTACAACTTGGGATGGAACAAATACTTCTCCTAAACCTTGTTCCTCATGTACAAGTTTATCTTGTTCATTTTGCATGTTCATATTTTAATAAATTAAATATAGACAAATGATTAATAATTTACAACCCTTATTTGGTATGTATAAGGAACTTTGGATTGAAAATGCAACTTAATTAAAAGACGCTTTGGAGAAATGGGATCAACATCAATTAAAATCCTGGCTTCAAAAAATGGAAAGTTGTCTATTTTGATTACTTATTAGGAACTATATTTACATTCTAATATGATGAGTGTATTGGACTGCTAGATGAATTTTAACCAAATTATATCTAGAATTTGCCTAATGACATGGGCATATAATGTAACAAACTAAGGACTATGTTTTAGAATAACTCAACTTAATATCTAATAGTGAATACCTATCTAAAATTGTTACGCTGTTTAAAAAAATCTCTTGAACCAATTTATAATTCTACTCATTTGCTTAATTCTATAAGAAATTTAGAATTATACCTTTCCTCTCCTTTGAATTAAAATACTATCAAGCCATAAGAATGTAATTGCACAATATTTTGATATTAGTTTATAAAATATAAAAATTTACTATCATGAATTTAAATTAAATTTTCTATATATCCAACATCTTCTCTATAAATATATTAATTAAGATTACTCATTATGAATTACAAATATTTTTATGAAACAATAACAAACTATAAAAAAAATAGTATATATTTAGTTTCAATATAATTATTAAACTAAGAAATTTTAATCAAATATAATTATAGATATGAATTTTTAACAGTTATAATTAAAATCACATATATTAGATTTTAATACAAAAATACTAATATCACTATTTCAAAGGCTTATATTAATTTGAAATAATAATTCTAATTTTAGTTAGAAAAGACACTTTAAATTAAAGCTCTAAATCATTAATTGATAAATTAAAGATATTCGATATTAAATAATGATTAATTATATCTCACTATTAACTTTATATTTATTATAAATTCAAGGTCTCTTAGAGATGTTAATCTTATTCAATATCTTCCAAGAATTCCTCTATTTATTATTCTTCCAATCCTTCCTTTTTCTTATTTCTTTTCTCCTAATTTTCTTCTATATCTAATCTTTTTAATTGAGTCTTTCTTTTTTTGTTTTTCTCTGGTTTTCTTCTAATAATTATTAATTCTGGTTTATCATAAATTTCATCTAATTCATTATTATACTTATTTAAATCAAATCCTTAAACAGTCATACCTGCTTATAAAAAATTACCTAAATGTGATTTAACTTAGTATTGTTTATAATCAGAATCATTATCTTTCATGAGTTCAACAGTACAGAAACTGTTTTAAAATGGATTATTTTAATCATTTTTTTAAGGTTTAATTTTTTCCACATCTAAAACTGTAAATTCATCACAATTTTCTCTTAAAGGCATTGTTCTAATATCTAAATCATGCTTGAAATATTATTCAGCTGATATTTCACAAACTTTTAATTTAATTGGATCAATTAATTATATTGAACTAGCTACTCTATAACATATCTAAATTCTATTAATTCCTCCTAATTAATGACAAAGTTTATGTGGCAAAATCACTAAATCATCTTTACATATTCTTGGTACATCCACCACAAATGTATATTTAATAAACGAAAAAACTTCTTTTGATTCCTTTACTTATATTGGAAGATATGATCTGATAAATTCTAACATATGTAATGCTTGATTTTTTTATTTATAGTAAAAATTCATTCCATCATCTGCTGATTCTACTTTTAACATTTACTAATTCATATGATGTTACAATATTAGTTGCTCTAAATAATAAAATGACTTCTTATGATTTACTCTTTATCTTAATTGAATGCAAGCTCCCCAAATATGAGGTGTAAATTCTCTCTTGCAATCTTCACATTAATGATAAACTTCTTCAAAATTTAAAATTTTTGAATCTTAAATGCAAGTGCCATTCATTGCTTCTTTTTATACAGTGATCTATAATTTGATTTATTTGGTGCTTGCCTCTGTAAAAATAAATTTTGTATCTATAATAGTCTTTTCTTATAATCTAATATAAGAATTAGGAATATTTTACCCTATTACTTTTTTTAAGCATATAGCCAATAATTCTTTAGAATCTCTTTCACAAAGAACCCAAGGAGGTCTTTGATATCTTCTACAATATCGGCAAAACAGTATTTCTTTATCATTATCAATATCTAATTCAATTTTTTTAAAGTACCTTAAGTGATATTCATTTATGCAATCAAACAATTCGGACAAATATTTGTTTTAGTTAATTTTGGTTCAAATTCCAATTCACATAATGGACAAAACATTAATACAGCTCTTTGCAACATTGTAAATATTTTTAAAATGATTATTATATTTTTTTTCCTTTATTCAGTACTATCATATACATTTGTGATTCATGGGGAAAATACAACAATAATCGAATAAGATTCGATTTTATCTTCTAAATTTTCTCAAACAAACCCAATTTAAACTTAATGTTAACCTTTAAGACTTTACATAGTTGGCTCAACTTAAAATGAAAGTGAATTTATTGTAAAAAACAATAATGAAACAGATTTACACTTTAAATTTAACATCACATCAGTTGATAGTAATATCATAAGTGTTCATCATAAAAAATAATTAGAAAAGATAACTATAAAACCTAATAATTCATTTGAATTTAATGTAAAATATATTTGCCTGAAGAAAATAGAAGATCAAACTTGGACAACAATTTAAATTATGTATTAAATTAATGAAAACCAACATACTGCATATTACTATAAATTTTGTGAAGCTTCAGAGACATATTTTCATCCATTAGCTATTTTATTGTTTTTTTCATTAATTATTATAGTGGGGGGGTCTATTTATGGGATTAAGGAATGGAAATTGTTTGGAGGAGTTTAGAATGAAGCTTATGGACCTAAAGCTGCTATTATTTTTATTATTGTTTCAAGCTTTCTTCTTATTTCACTTTATAAGTTTCAAACTTTTGCTTCCAGTCTCACATATATTATCATGATGTTTACAGCTTTTATTTCAATAGAAACAATATTGTTGGACATTTAAAATGAATATTCCTATTCTAACAATATAAAAATATTGTTCTCAACAATTATGAGTGGAATCCTTATCATTCTATATCATTATTCAAAAACTTGGATTCTAAATAATATTTTAGCAGTTTCTATAATATTTTTTAGTTTTAGAGTAATATTTATAATAAATTAGATTTTAGAGTTTGATTCTTTAAGAACAGGGACGATCTTTATGTTTTTAGCATTTTTTTATGACCTATTTTGGTTATTTGTTAGCCCAACTATTTTTGGCTAATCTGTTATATAGAACATCACAACAACAATTGAATTACCTATTAAACTCTTAAGTCCATCTTTAATAAAAAATTGTAATTCTCCTTATTAGCAATGTTCAATTTTAGGAATTGGCGATATTCTAATTGTAGGATTGATCATAAAATATATTCTAAAGTTTGAGAAGTTATCTGGAGAAAATAACTTAATATTTTTTTCATCCATTTTAGGATATGGGATTGGATTAACGTCTTATTTCATTCTAATCTATTATTATCATATTTAATATCCAGCATTATTTTATATTATACCTACCACACTCTTATCAATAGTTATCCCAAGTATAGTAAAATCTTTGTTCCTACAGATTTGGAATGGTGCCTTTGTAATTAAATTAATTGAAGAATAAGAGCTAGAAATGATTTGATTACTTTGTTAATATTTTAAATTTTTATTTTTTCATCACAATTATGGGAAGTAAGAATCAATTTGAAATTTATTAGATCTTTGTGGACAAGAAAGGCAAGAGCCAACACAGATAATGCAATCAAAAGTCAAATTAGATAGAAGCTTTGGAAATCTGAGAATTCAAGTAATTTAGGGAGAAGTTTTATCAGAAAAGGCAAATGCTTTTTGTAAAATATTATAATTATATTAAAGTGAATGCTGCAAATGATCCATATAATACCCAATTGATTAAGAAGATAAAAGAAATCAAAAAATAACCATGTATTAAGTTTTCTATATTATAGTAAAAAATGGAGTTCCCTAATTAATCAAGTTTGACCAGAACAATATTGATTACATCATGATGCTTAAATTATGTGAAGACTATGTAAGATAAATTATTTGATATCTAGGATGATGATTTCAACAATTAAAGAAAAGAAGCTTTTCTAGCTTCCTTTTAGTTGGCAAATTAGAAGAACCTTAAAATTATATCCTTTACAGATCCTCCTTAATAACTCACTTAAAAAACTGAAGATAATTATTATATTGAATTATTTTTATCATCATTATAGAAGCATAAAAGAACATAATAGAATAGTAAAATTGAATAAATTAAATTGATAAGCTTAGATATGAAGCTTTCGAATATATATTGTTAAGCTATCTAATTATATGTTGAAAAGCTTAAGAATGATAAATAGGAAGAGGATGATTAACCCAAATTAATATAATAATAAGATATATAGACTGATTAATCCTAGGAAACAGATTAGTAAGAAAAATAGTTTGATACATAGATGGAGGTACAAAGTAGTGCTGCGTAACAGAATATAAAAATAAATGAAAATACATTGAAAGAGGAAGAAGAAAATGTCAAAAAATAAGTAAACGTTTAAGTCGAATAGGAAAAATAATAAAATAATACAAATAATTAAGAATCCAATAAAGTACTATAAGAAAACGAAAAATAATCCGATTAAGTTGATGTTCAATCTAGCCCTGAAAATAAAAATGGGGAATAAATAAAAGAAATTAAATAAAAAGTTCATGAACTCTAATAGGATGTTCATTCAAAGAATGTATAACATGAAAATACTGAAAACCAAGAATCTAATAAATAAGAATAATAAAATTAAGAATAAGTTCCTGAAGGTCATTCTAGCAATTTAGAAAAAGTAGAAGAAATAGTACATTAAGTTTAATAAGAGATTCATGAAACCAATGAATAACATGAAAATACTGAAAACCAAGAATCTAATAAATAAGAATAATAAAATTAAGAATAAGTTCCTGAAGGTCATTCTAGCAATTTAGAAAAAGTAGAAGAAATAGTACATTAAGTTTAATAAGAGATTCATGAAATCAAATAAGAAGTACATGAAACCAATGAATAACATGAAAATACTGAAAACCAAGAATCTAATAAATAAGAATAATAAAATTAAGAATAAGTTCCTGAAGGTCATTCTAGCAATTTAGAAAAAGTAGAAGAAATAGTACATTAAGTTTAATAAGAGATTCATGAAATCAAATAAGAAGTACATGAAACCAATGAATAACATGAAAATACTGAAAACCAAGAATCTAATAAATAAGAATAATAAAATTAAGAATAAGTTCCTGAAGGTCATTCTAGCAATTTAGAAAAAGTAGAAGAAATAGTACATTAAGTTTAATAAGAGATTCATGAAATCAAATAAGAAGTACATGAAACCAATGAATAACATGAAAATACTGAAAACCAAGAATCTAATAAATAAGAATAATAAAATTAAGAA